TGTCCTCAACTTTTATTTTTTTCTGATTCCTGTCAAAAATGATTCGTTAATAAATTTGAACAGCAAGCGTGAATATCGATCAGGAGATGGATGTCGATGAAGTCATACCAGAGAAATCAGTGACAACTAGACATTCGAATCGGAAGACTAGTTCAGCACTAAAGAGTGACGTAAAGAAAAAGCAATCAAAGAAAGAAAAGAATGATGAATTAGATATCAGTGAGGTTGAAGAAGATTTTAAATTAAAATTGCCGAAGAGATCAAAAAAGGATGATAACGACGGATCCACTCTTACGGAAGATCGTCTTTCTAAGAAAAAGCAGAGAAAAACCAGGAAAGATAGTGATGAAAGTGAAGTCGAAGACGTTAAAATGGATCTTGATAACATTAAAACAAATACTACTAAAAAGACTGCCACGAAAAAATCATCACAACTGCCGGAAGTTGATGAATCAAAGCCTACCAAGGATGATCCTGAAGTAATACCAAAGTCCAGTAAAGGGTCTACGTATGTTTTTCAGCGAGTTATATTTTCTATAAATTTGTTAATTGTAATTATTAATTAATTTCATCCTTCATTAAGGTATCGCAACTTTTTACAAAGAACTGGGCCATCAGCGCCTGGGTCAAAAGAAATACCTGTTGGCGCAGAAAATTGTTTGTCGGTGAGCACGCTTGTTTGATCGTACCTTCTATGTTATTGTATGAGCATGGTAATAATTACAATTTTTATTTAGGGTCTGACTTTCGTTTTTACTGGTGATCTAGAATCTCTCGGTCGGGAAGAGTCGCAGGATCTTGTTAAACGTTATGGAGGGTATGAGATTAGAGATGATGTCTGTATAATTTGATATTTGTACCCATAATAACTTTTTGGATCTTTAATGACACATTAGTAAGGTGACTGCCTCTGGTCCAAGTTCGCGCACTTCGTACGTTGTTGTTGGTGATAATCCCGGTCCGAAAAAAATGGAAAAGGCCAAAGAACTTAAAATCCCTACTCTAACCGAAGATCAACTATTGGAACTTATCAAGACGTCGCCTGGAAAAATAGATTCTTCAAATGTAAACTCGGGAAAAGAAAAAACGAAACAAAGTACTAAGAAGGAGATAGAGAAAATTCCACGATCTCCTTCTCCCTCAAGTTCTTTGAGTATAGAGTATGTTTAGGAAAGATTGTTTTCACTTTAAATAATTTTTAACTTGTTTCAACATCTGAATTTCTCCCTTTAGCATTACACCCTCACAATTATGGACTGAAAAATACAAGCCAACATCAATCAAAGAAATTTGTGGTAACAAGACGCAGGTCGATAACCTTCAAAAATGGTTAAGCGCATGGTGAATAACATGGTGTTTCTTATTTTAATTTCAATCAATCGATTATTTTCATTATTAACTTTTATGTAAAATTTACTAGGGACGAAAATCGTAGAAAGGGATTTAAATTTCAAAATAATAATACTTATCCGGCTGCGTTAATATCTGGAGTTCCTGGAATTGGAAAAGTAATATATTATAACCAGCATTATGCCTTCTAAATTTATTTGATATCACTCGCGATATACCGAGCTACAATTATTTCCCGCTAGACCACTTCTGG